CACTCTTGAGGTCTCAAAGCTAGAGAACATTTAAGACTTGTCTTCCACCTGCAAGTTTCTCCATCTCATTGTGCAGTCCACCCAATCCTCATTCTTGGTACATAACTCTCTGGCTCTCCATTATCATCTTTTTGTCATACTTTTAGTCCTAAGTTTTCCTCTATTAGCAAGTTTCTAATCCAAGGCCATACTTTCAGCTAGTTACATGTCCATTATAGCCTCTCAGAGAAGCTTAGAAAAGGCTATATGAAAATCCAAGAACAGGCTGAATGGAGTTTGGGTTTTTTTTTCAGTGCTTTTGTTTTTTCACTAGATAAAGATAGGCGCTATCACCTTCCAGCCAGATGGTTTCAGGGTATCCAACGCAGCATCTCAGCTTTTTTCTTATACTCCTTCAAAACACCAAGCTGAATGCCACATAAACAGGGATTTGGTTCACTTTTCAGTTTGCTCAATAATCTTAACACTTCACAGGATTTCCATCTCTAACTTTCTGCAAGACTCGTAATACACCGAATCTCTGATGATAGCCCTTTGCTGTTTGTAGGGCTACACTGCAGATAACAACATTTATGTCTGTTCAATAATCATGCTTTTTTTTTTTCAAAACATGCAGAAGCAGGTAAGAAACACTACAGAACAATAAAGATAAGTCAGATAATTAAGCAGAAGCTCTCAGGATATCACTGAAGGCTCATAAAAAGCCAACTGACCGCGATGAGATCTTATTTTGCTCGCAGCATCTTGTTTGCTTTTTTGAGAGGTTGTGGTTAACTAGGGAGTTTCCTTTTCCTCTGCCACAAGAATGGTCTTAAAGAATTTGAACCATTAGGTCCAGAAGACTAAATACAGAAGCAGCAGAAGAGGTGTGGGGAAACAAGGAAACAAACAGCTTGAAAATGTGGGTTGGAGTCGGTAGAGAGAACAGCAGACAAAGGATCAGGTTACAGTTACTTGTTATCTGAGAATGTGATAGAGTTAGGATGGACACATGAAATGGAAAAAAAAAAAAGATGATTTTTGAAAAAAGATACTACAGAACAACTAAATTTCAGTCAATACTATATAGCACTGAGGAACTCACTGGAATAATACAGACTTTTTTTTTTAAATGTTTTTGATGGGGTTTGTTTTATCTCAACAAAAAACCTAGGGTTTGCTATTTTCCTCCCAATCAGTTGATACTGAAGGTATCGAATTTTCTCAGCATCTCATCTGCTGCTGTCTTGTGACATCTGTGTCAAAATCGTAACAGTAAAACACACAAGTGCATCAAGGAGGCAGGAACAAGGGCCTGGGAAGACCTGTGCAGTCATAAATGAACAGAGCTGCTGGAAGGGCAAGGAATGGGGCAGGAAAGTCTGATGTCCATCAGGTGCTTGCTCCGCTTTCCCCTAGTTCAAGACACAGCTGCTCACCTTTATCCACCAATGGATGCTGCAAGGTGCCACAAGGCAAGAGCAGAGATGAAGGTAGCTACTATGGCATAAGCAAAGATACTACGATACCTGTTCACCTGCTCAACCCCAAGCAGCAATGTTGCACACATACAGTCTGAAAGGTTTGCTCAGCCTCAGCCTTAAGCTTCCTGAAGCCATACAAGCACACTCACTTTTGAAGATGAGAGACAGAAATAAAAAAGATCAGGGTTTATATTTAAATTTACAGTACCCACTGTTTAATACTGACATTTTCACAGGTCTTCTGGGATACACTGTTCATATGGCATGCTTGCGCATTTGACAGTATCCTACACCTACTCAATTTAAGTAAGCTCATTTCAAAAAAGGGATGAAGCCAGAGATAAACTATAAATACAGCTACAGGAATTGCATCAACTGAACATTTTCTTTGAAACTGGAAGTATAGTTGAAAGTAGAACAGGAAATAGCAGAAAGCACCTAAAAAAAAAGTTATGGTTTAAAAGCACAAGCATCAGGGACAGCGTGAGGACTGTATCCTCTCAGCTTGAAGTGGCAGATAAGGCTGAATGAAAAGCAGGGGTAATTTACCCAGACTTCGGGAACACCTTTGCACAAAAAGCTGGCCCACGAGGTAAGCAAGGATAAAATTCTTGAGTGCACAAAGGAGCAGCTTGGGGCAAGCCTTGCAGCTGCCTCAGAAGGAATGCGCACTTTCTGTAGGTATTAAAATCTGCTGAAACAGGTGAAAGGGAAGTAAATAAAGACTTGATTCACAGCAAGCTACATAGACTAAGAATATAGGAAAGTAAATGACTTGGCATAGGGGAAGTTTGAGGCAATAGGTCATGCAAAAAGGGATGAAAAGGTCACAGAAATTATGTATAGCCTTTTGGATAAAAAAAATCCACTGCTGAGTCTTTGGATGTACTTCCAGCAATGTTAAGATGTTGCCTCCAGCTGCTGGATGACAGCACATCCTGGATTTATAAGTATTCATTGTTAGGATATACATTGTATTTTGAGAAACGTTGCTTTAGAACATGCTCCAGTGCTATTACCCCACACCCTTTCCCTTCTCCCGAGGGTCACCATCAACACATAAAAGACAGCTTTGAGGAAGGCAGGCCCATATTCATTCTTTAAGAACTTCAACAGGATCAGATCAGGCTTTCCAGTGGATACTCAACCAGAGTGGCCTGGAAAGGATATGATTCCAGCTGACAGACGCATCAAAATTCCCCAAGTGTGGTTTCTTAGGAGCAGGCTACACTCACAACATGACAAGACAGACACACAATGGTAAGCCTTTTCAGGCTTTCATCCCAGTATACACTATGCTTCTACATTACCAGTTTCAGCCTCTGAATATTTGTTGATTTTTATTTTGCTCTTATTCCAGCTCTACTCATGTTTGCATTTTTTAATGCAAATGCGTGCTGACCATTTATCTCCAAACTGTCAATAAAGTGCCAAAACTGACCAGCTGCATTTGGGCTTATTTCCACTCAAGCTTGAGATGGTCCCACAGATAAGAAAGTACCCCTGGCACAGAAGGTGGGTTTCCCATGCAGCACGTGAAGCCTGGAGAAGTTCCAGCTGCCTCATTCTCTGGAGAGCAAAGCAACAGGACAGAGGGCAAGACAATACCAAGCCAAAGACCTGGCTTGTCCCAAGAGGCACATCTGCCTCCTTTCGGTGAAACAGTTGGAAACCACCACTCTAGGAGCAGCAGAGCATGGAGAAATATGCAGGACAAGTCCGATGAAGGCTGTGTTACTCTGGCACAAGGTAAAATGCACTGAAGGAGGTGAACTCAAGCACTTAGGAGAACACCAGGCACTAAACTTAGACGCCTTCTCCGCTCTGCTGGCTCCTTTTCTGTATACCTATATGCCACTTTTCAGAAGGAATCTCACTAACAATACCAACCAATCTAAAAAAAAAAAAAACACATATCTAACTTCTTTCTGTTCTAAATATCCCAATCATGGAATATTTTTCAAGATCCTACACATCATTGCTCAGAGGAAAGAGAAAAGAAGCTGCAGAAATGAATCGCTTTGCAGTGTTTTATTAAAAGAAAGAACCTCTAGAAACGACCAGATGATGCAGAGGTAAAGCCACCTACAAAACAAGACAAATTAGCATCACCCACTGGTTGTTGATCCTGGTGGCACTAGAGGCAAACTGGGAAGGGCTTTAGGGCAACTTTGTACTCACAGATTATAAGCATGAAGAAAGATTTATAAGCAGAAAGAAAGAATTAAAAGATAGATAGTAAAGCAAGTTCCTTCTCTTGCCTCTTATTTTACAAATTTCTTCTATTATGGTGCAAATCCAGAGCATTGATTCTAATACTATTTTACTGGATTTCCATTTGTTTTGCCTGGGCTCCTACATTAATCCAAACAATAAGGGCCTTTAAAGCATTCATAAATAACCTGCTGCTGCTGCTGGCACCTAGGAGCCAAGTGCAGCAATGTTAAGCAACAACAAATTTCATAGTTCAAGAGGCACAGTTAAGGAAAAAGGTTGCTCAGAAAATCACTCTCATTTACCACAAAGATCCTTAAAAATTGCATGAAATCAGTCAAGTAACTATAGAAACCAATTTCTTCAGCTCTGTATCACATGTCTCACACCTCAATTGTCTTTATTATCGTCTGCTGTCAGATCCTTAATCAGAAATGTGAACAGGCTTGATGATTTATTCAGCAGGGAAAAGAATCTGTAGGTCAAGTGAAAAATTTCACACACACATACACACGCACACACATCTTCAACCTTAGGTACTTTCATTTCATTCTGTTCCCAGTAGCTCTGGGGGCAACTCCAGTGAGATCCAATATTAAGGCTCAATTAAAATAAGCTCCAATTAGTGGAGCTTTTTTCTCTCAGGCTAGAAAAGTCAGGAAATGGATATTGGGAAATGTAAAAAGTCAGCTACTGAGAGGAGGCTGCAGACATAAATGAACTTATTTGTTGATTTCTACAGTTGCTATGCAGAGGCCTCTGGGAGTAAAAGCTTAACCAGTCTAAGCTATAAACTAAAAACCCCTGCAGCTAAACATGAACTGTGTGAAACAAGGGCTCCATTCCAGAACAGAAAACTGCTGGGCCCAGAAAATTAAAAGCCAGAGGCGTTTTCCATTTAAAACTAAATCCCAGTACCGCCTCCCAGCCAAAGAATTATAAGCAGTATCAGATTTACAAAACGAACAATTACCCTGGAAAAATGTAGCCTATTGTACAGTCCCAGATGCTAAATCTCAAAAAGTTTCTTTTTTTTTTTTTCCCTAATCCCACATTATATTCCTACCAAGTGTACTGCTGCAGTTTACAAAGGACCGTTTCTAGACAGGACTGAAACTACAAAAATAAAATGTTAAAAAAGAGAGCTCATAATTCATTGACCTCATTTGAAGCACTGCCCTTGCCTGTGGCAGTTCCTGTCCTTCCCCAAGGCCTCTGCAAATGGTATGCAGCAACAAAATAAACCCTGACCTAATTGCCAGGACAGGGCTGCCAACCTTCTCTCAACACACAAAGGCAAGCATGGTAACTGGAAAGTCCTACCTCTTTCGCTTTCTGCTTTAACCGCAGTTGCTCTGGATCTTCTTTATTGGAACGGCTCTACCAAAGGAAGAGGAAAAAGATTGAATAGAAATTACTGGCATCCAAACACCATCGTATCTGTTAAATATTTAATAAATGACAATTTTCCCTGGTGATTGAAAGATTTAGCTCCAGGGGTGAATGCCTCAATCCAGACTGGCTTCCCTCCCCCTCCATGCACATACGCGCACCCCCCTCCTCATCTGGGCCGGCTGCCTCTGCTCTAGCCTGAAGCAAGATTAAGCTGAAAATGATGCTAACACTGTCAGTCAGGTCCAGTCTAGGCATGATGTTGTTCATGTCAGCAGCAGACACTTAAAAAGGACAGGAAGTATAGGAAAGAAAGCGAGTCGTACTCATGCAAGTACAACACAATTCTTTCAAGCCTAGATTAGGCTTCCACCCAAGAGGCTCCAGAATTCAGCTTGAAACGAAACCGAAAAAACAACAAACAGAATATGATCAAGTCACATCCGATGCAGCAACATCTACTGATTTTTCCCCCCCCCCTCCTCCTGTTCTTGAGGGAGGGAAGGGGGAAGAAGGGTACTTACTCCGTACTAGCAGTGGCTCCATCAGTGGTTTGCAGATGCCAGGGTACCAGCTCCAAGGCTAGCCCTCTGATCTGACTACAGAAAACATACATCTGGCAGGGTGGTGGATCTCACCAGGCTCCAGCTTGAACAAGCATAGTGAACCCATATTTTCAAACAGTGCCATACACAGATATGGAGAAAGACATACCAACTTCGGAGCCAGAAATAAAGCGAAGGATGTTTACAGCTATGTGAATACTTCTTTTGTTTAATTTTGACCAGTAGGAATAATCTCAAAAGGAGAGTTCACCCCGCCACACATTTTAAAGAACTCCTGTGATTTTTTTGAAGAATGTAAAGAGCTAAAATCCTTTTCTATATAGCCTAAGCTATCCTAAACATTATGGATTACCAGATAGAGGGTTAAAGGTCACTACATTTAAAGCAGAAATAGGAGAAACCTGAAGATGTTCACCAGTCTAAAGGATACCACTGCTTCCTTGGAAAGCAAGAAGTGAAGTTCTTACCTTGGCTGCTCGAAGCAACATTTCACGTTCCTCTTCATCCTTTCTCTGCTTTTCTAGGTGATCAAGCTTTTCAAGAAATCTCAGCTGTGCTCTGGTGTCACTGGATAAGATGTACCTATCACTCCCCTGGAAAGAGAAGTTTGTGATTAACAACCAGACTTTTATATACACCACTAGAGCTAATAAACCCAATGGGAACAACCTGAAAAGATGAACACTTATTTTTTCAAAGATGAAAAGCGTAGGCTGTTTTAGAAAGACTTCAGGTGGTAGGTAGTCATTTACACATTTCCTCTCCACTGAAGCATGTTTCCTGGCATCTGTGATTAGTAAGGTGTTATTGAACAAGTGACATTAAAAACATCCAGTGTATATTGACTATAACAACAATAAAGTCTTTAAGTCTAAAGGCTAAAATTTTGTTTTAAACACCAACTTCATATTCAGTAAACATACATACAAGACTGTCTTCTGGACAGGTTAAGAGGGGAAAGAAAAAAAAAAAGCATTGTAAAGCAGCAGAACATCATATTCTTTCCTCTTTAAAGAGAAAGGGTGAAGAAAAAATAAAATTTGAAATTTTAAGTTTCTCATGTCTGGTGTTCTAGTTTCAGCCATTTAATCCAGAATTTGAAATAAGCCTCACCTAGTATTTCCAAAAAGAGGTTTTATGGAGCAGAGGGGTGGTTTAGAACTAGTTATAATGAATCTGGGGGTGGGAAAAGTGATGTAAATTATATATGGTTTATTAGAGCTTTAGGAATACCTATTTTTGCCTCAGTGGATGCTCTCAAGTCATAGAACAGTTTATGTTGAAAGGTGACCTGTGGAAGTCATCTGGTCCAGCCCCCTGTGCAAACCTGGGCCAGTGAATACTAATGAATAGCTCCAACAATAACTGGACATGCATGCATTGAAACAAGACTATGGTCCTTTTGGTCTAAAAAGTAACAATCAGGAGTTTATTTTTCATACTATTTTTTCCCCTCACTGGAAAGTCTGAGTTTCGTTTTACTTTAGACAGGAAAGAAGACAGAGAAAGGAAAGATGTAAAATGCAGTCAACTGGCAATGAAAAGCTTGTTTTTACTATTCTGTTCTTCCAAAGACAAGCTATTTAAGCCATGTGTTGGCCAGAGGGCATTAGGCAAAACAAGGAACCGAGCCCATTCTAGATGAGACATGTCTGTGCCACCTGTTTGCACCACTCTTTAATGCACGTCCTAGAGTCATTTTCTTTCTCCGTTACTTTGTGAACTTGTCTTTTCCTGAGAAATTTATCCTTGGGCTTTTACCAGCCAAACACACTATATACTTTTAGCAACACTTCTTTCTACCCTACCCCAATCTCACACTTTGATGAAGCAATCTTGACACACAACTGCTCTGGAATAAGTACAGCGTATTTTAAAGCTATATTTTAGGCAAGAGTATATTCTATACTCAGACTCTTCTTCCCACGCCCAGTCATATACTTTTAAAAGCTGGGAGGAAAGTAAAAGTCTTCTTGTGGGACACTGTTGTCTCCCAGTCTTAATTCTCACAACCCAGCCAGAGCATGAAATCAATCCCTCTTCTGGTATTAAGTCTGGTCCTTTTCAATGAGCCACCACATTGTCTTGTATCACCAACTGTGGCTCACACCACACCATATGTTGCAACCAAGGAGACTTTCTTTCCCAAGCAGAGTCTGTGATTCTGCAAAAAAGTCCAAGAAACCTTTCCCCCCCTTCTGTTACTGCTCCAGGTTTTTTTTTTTACTGCTCCCCACAAAACATGCACTGTTTTGAGTCAGTCTCAGTTCATTAGTACAATTTGTTTTGAAGCAGGAGTTTATAAGAATACACCACCATACCGCAATCATTTTGAAGAGACAAAGAAGCAAGCTGTATTACCAGATTATTTTTTACAAAGTTTAAGTGTTTTGCTTTGGAATGCCCAAAGTCGGAGTCAGTACTTGATTGTAAGTCAATACTTACATTTTTAAAGCCAAATCAAAGACCTTATGCCAATTAGGAACACAAGCTTCTCAACCAGAAGCACCCCAATGCACTACCATGAGCTCAGATGGGACAAGAAATGGGTGCATTCATAACAGTATTTCAGCTCATCAACAACTGTTTCAAGATACCTTATTTCAAGTCTTTTTAGAAGAGGATCACCTGCAGTTATATTTTATCCTACTCAATAAATTTGCTCTCTGTGATCATTTAGCACTGAACCGCTTCGACAGAAAACATTATATTGTATACCTGTTCATAACTTGTAGCCACTCCTGCTGTGATGAAGCAAGCTGGCTTCAGTTTTTGTCCATGTAACAGTTTAACTTCCTCACATAAGGCCAAACTGATCCCAGCTACAACAGTGCAATCCCAACAAAACTGAAGTTACAAGTGTAGTCGAGAACATAATTTAACTTAGTAATAAATAAAGCATGTAACCACAATACACTGTGGTTAGATTTGTATGTGCCGAAGCTGAACTTGTATAACTGACAGTTAAAAAGTCATTTTTACTTTAACTGAGCTAAATTTAACCCAAAGTTCACTGCACTATCCTGAAAGAAGCTATTGCTTTCACACAACATCTACACAACCTTGTTATGAAGTTCATTCCCCCACACTTTTTTTTTTTCCCCCTTCAAGAGAGATGTACATACTCAAGACCCCTCCATGGATGCGCTCTAAAGCATAGCCAATTCCTACCAAAATTTTTACGTTAGGTTTACACGTATTTGAAAGAAGCAGCATTGAAGCAAAGCATTCCCAGGCATGTCTTTAGTGAGAGGAGAGCTGGCAACAAATTCAAGAACAGCTATATGCCTTGACTGCTATTTGCAACTTCCTTCCTAGATTGTCACATACCTGTAAATGAATCTGAAACCTGACTCAGGCACTTGCGGTTTTAGCACCAGGAATGTATTGCACACCCATGGGCACAAAGGGAAAACCCACATACAGGGAAGCTGCACTCCAGTTCACCAAGAAAGAAGTTGGAAGAATCCCACAACGACCAGTTCTCCCACAAAATCTGAAGAGTTCAAGTCATGTTGAACAG